TGACTTTTCTGTATGCGCATTAAAAAATTGAGAATGAACAACAATGTAAGCATCTTCAGATGCATTTGTTTGCAGTAGAGCCGATTCGCACCACTATCAAACGGTTTGCATTTTACACTACCAATTACTGACTAAAGTCGCAAGCTGACAAAAATTAGAATACGAATCGAGGCTTTCAGGCTCTAAACTAATATATGTTACGCGTTTCGATGCAAGGAAGGACAAAACTCACCGTCAGCAGACGATCGCCAATAGAGATGGCCATGGAAGAAGCGGCTGGTCCCTTGGGGTGGATGTGAGAGACGTAGATGCCAGTCGTGCCGTCGCCGCTAACGATGTTGAACCCGAGACTTCCACTTGACCTCTCTCCAACACTGCTACCCGTAATTTGACTCTCTTCCTTGTATAAGGTAACTAGTCGAGCTCTCGGCCACCTCTGTAAAATGGACTCAGGCACAGCGTGGGCAGCTGCGTAGTCCTCTGCACGTCCACATAAAATGCATGAAACAGCATTTACACGTGAAGTGACTGTAACCATCCACCATCAAGTGAGGCGTCAGCACAGCCAATGAATCCTTAAACGAGCTGCACTGGTTACTCATATTTTGTCAACCTATGTGGATGCTAAACATGGCCAGTAGAGAAGAAATAACGCCACTAAACCTTAGAACCATTTGATTGGTGGGTAAAACCACTAGACTCATGCGTGCATTTCATTGCAAAAAAAAAACAACAAATTGTAGAACCACTGAGACGGATGCTAGAACTTTGATAGGTGCAAATTATAACATGGTAGATTTAGAACTCTAAAAATATTTCCATTTCAAGTTTTTGCCATTTAATTTTTATGTTCTCTGTTGAGTAGTTCTGCATCTAAGGGGAGAAAAGTGATAGTAATAGTAATAACAGGTCAAAACCACTAATGCTTGAATGAAACTATTTTCGCATAAAGTAGTGCCACAAAACCGAGCCAGCTAAGGTGAGAGTTGTTCTGAGCTAGTGGCAAAACGCTAGTCCGTAAACGTGGCAATGGCCAGGGCTCCTTTTAAGTGCGTGGAAAAGAAGGAACCTGATCCATGAAAACTGCTTGAGAGAGGTAAGGCTTCTACTGCCCGTTTGGAGGGCGCCAAGGGAGTGGACTGTAACTGATGGGATATTAAACGTCGCCTTTCAGATCTGCGTCGATGCAAATGTCGCCTCTCAGCAAGTCTCTCTGTCGGCGCGGGGGACGGATGCCACTCTGTGATTTTCTCCTCACTGTTCGTTGACGTATTAGGCTGAAGGCGAAGATTTCGAATGGCTTCTATAAATAATTTAAATCCACTTATCATATGTAGAGATAATAAAAATACTTTGCTTCTGAACGCAAGTAAATTAGTAAGTTAGGGGGCAGGCAATCATAAAGCAATTCAGACGCATGGCGTGCCAGAGACTTATCCAATGCTCAATCAGTGTCAGTGTTTGATTTGTCCAAAATCTGTAAAATCAAAACCCATACTTTACCGAACTTCGAAAAACTCCTGTGGAGACGATCATTTTATGGGAGCAAAGGTTGGAGGCTTCTTAATTTCCGGCCTCATAAAAATGTGGCGAAATTGTGGGGAGGAATTTGCATCCAAACTTGAAGTATTCTTGAACATGTTCAACGTCATTAATCATTGCTTTACCATCAAGCACAGCTCCACACTGCTTTGTAGGGTATTGCCAACACTTTGCATGCAGTGTGGTGCACACTGTCCAGAAATAACGAATTCAAAAGTGGAGTGCAGAAAGTTGAATGAAATCAATCAGTCATGGAGGTTTTGACGTTCCATGAAAAAGAGGAAGCTCCGCCAATTCATAAACACGCCGGCAGGTGACAATGAAACGAAAAGCAAATGTCCGTGCGTCTTTGAACACCTTTCGATGATTGCGAATAAAAATGCTATTTAAAACTTGTTTTAGTAAAGGCAAGGGATAAGTGTTAAACTTGTGTGGTTATTTAAATTCTTCAATAGAAATGAAGCTATTCCGAGTGTCCTAAGCACAATAGCACTGCTATTAAGGAGGGGAAGTTCACCTAAGTCCGTGTATTATGGCACCTCACAACAAAGAGAATCCCATCCAGCTTCGGATGCAAACTAGGAGCTGCACTAGTACGCCTTTCTCACAGACAGTTTGTTTACAGTCTTGCAAAATTCAAGGCCTTTGGATTTGAGATACCCGTTAATTTTCAGATTAAGTGCGTACAAGCATAGATTTTAGGCATGGATGGGGTGGAAATGTAATGAGAGGCTCAAATGTATGGAAACTAGATGGCATGGTAAATTTACATTCAAGTGACCAGCGAGGGAAAGACACTCATTGCAAGTAGAGGCCAACGATAAGATGGGAAAAAAATTGGATTCAAACCTGAGCCACAAAAATGAAATGTTTGCACAAACACAGAAGTCATTCAACCGCAAATTAGAAGACATTAACGGGGAGCGTCGACTCAATGCAGCTAAGCAGACAAACAGCTTGCCCAGAAAACTGAGCTAGGTGATGACTCACGTCTAAAAATTAAAATAAATCTATTGAAATAAATGTTGACTTTACTAGTTGGAGGTAATTTACGAAGGAGGTTTGAGGAAATTATGTGAGCTAAAGTCCACCGAAGTTTGCGATCTTCTTTGCCACCCGCTCATTACTCATTCAGTCATTACGCGGGTACGTACTGTACATGCAGCCCGATCATCATGACAACTAGTAATTGTTTACAAGCAAATTGTTTGCAAGCAATGAAGAATATACCTTGGCACTGCTGACAGTTGATCCGTTGGGGTGAGGAGTGGAGTGACACCTTGACGAGAAGCAGAAGCGCAAAGTCGCCTGCGGTATTGAGGGCCTCCACTGCTTTAGCGTGTGTCACGTCCACGAGGGATACACTGTTCACCCTGATCAACCGATCACCGACAGCAATGCGACCACTGGTGTCTGCAACGCCGCCCGAGGTGACCTGTCACGATGGGTTAACTTATATTGCAACGCGGCCTTGGCCAATGGAGTACTTCAAGTAGTCATGGGAAGGCAGCGGCCAGCAACCTTGTGATGCTGTCCGTATTTTGAAACTACAATTTCTTTCAAGCTATGCCACATAGATGGTGGTATTAGATGAAAAAAACGATAATGTTCTTTTCGGACGCGTAAACTATACTTTCAAGGCTTCTTCGGCCGATATGAGCGTAAGCGACGCATCACTGTACGAGTGCTACGGGTAAATACTTTTACAACTATGAATGTGGCAATTAAGTTGCACACTGTACACTTTCGTAGCTCCAACAGAACTACCAACGCGTTTATACCATAAGTAACTCAAAGTGAATGAACAAAAGCGAAAGTCATGGAGCATAAAAAACGACTTTCAGAAGTATTAGCGCAATAACTAACTAATCAAAACAGACTGGTGTCTTAAGATTGTTGTGAAGAGCAATGATCCAACCAAAGACAAACACACAGAACATGAGTTGCTACTTGAAAAACAAAGTAGATGACGGAAAGCAAAGCGAAAACTACTTTAATTTTAGTGACCTCCACAATGCTGATTAATTAAAGTAATTAGGTAGTTTGGAAAAACTGTATGTTTCTTTTTACTGCTCCTAAGCTCTTAGTGCACTTCCTCATTCTCGCTGCATGTTGTTCTTCCTCCATGTTCCCTGAAAGACCGCCAATAGGGAGTGGAAAACTGATGAATCATCTGGGCTTAGGAAGCACCTTGGTCTGCAATACCAGAAAGCTAGCTCTCACATGTCTACATTGGGGCTTTATTTTCACACATACTAGTTTTTAATGGAATGATTGTATAAGAGAAAAATTCGGACCACGTGCTGAAAGCCCAAATACAATACCGCATTCGCACCTCCTGGACTACCAGGAGGCAACAGTTCCGGATGAACCCTCCCTGCTACCTGCAGCTCTTTTGAATTAACAGAAGTGGAAGAAAATTCTTCAGGTTACAGAGTCAATCCAGTATGGACTCGCTAAGCAAAATTGCTGCTTACTAATCGCACAACGAAGACAAAAGCCAATTAGAGAGGAATAATTGACGCAATCACACCGTAAGCATTCAGCGCCCAAGTAAACCTTTTCATTCATAATACGCTTTTTGGTCTTTCAGAATGAGAGTAAAACCAAATGACCACTACAATCCCTCTAACAATTTGCACGACCTTCCTTCTGCGTATCTGGACCCAAAGGTATCCATTTTCGTTGCACGGAATCACTAAATTGCCTATTGGAATTAGGGTGGCAATAAAATTCAGGTTTAGTTAGCTTAAAAGTAGTCAAAACTGCGGGCCTTTTTAGTCACTTATGAGCAACAAACGCCATACACAGGCAGGTAAACGTCCCATGAGGATACCTTTGTGATGAAGATGCCCGAGTCACCTTCGAGAAACTCCGTTCCGATGCCACCAGCGATACTGAAGCCAAAACCATTGCTTGTACCTCTGACTAACGGCACCTCAACGATGACTGGACCAGGTGGGGGATCGGGTTGTGGACGCGTGGACAGCTCCCACTGACTGATCGGGATGGGCGGTGGTGGCTTCTTCGACTGAGCAACTCGTCTGTTTATACCTTCTACCCCTATTTTTTGAAGCTCATTGTCCTTCGCCGTAGCTTTGATGCTGCTAGATCTGTACGAATTATGCACACAGTTACATTGCGCAATTAAGTAATAAGTGCACTGCGACAGACCAACAAATGAAAAGAGAGTGAATTTCGAATACAGAGAGAGTGCAAAATTCCTTCCCATTCGCCAAGTTGAGTGTTGCTTTTGCTAAATAAAAGGCCTTTTGTTGGCATTAAATGAGGCGCTTCGCTGCAAATTGTGTGAACTTACCTTTGACCTAAAAGATGGAATTCTGCGGTTGTTGCTAAAGCATCGAGGAATGGCCTGATTTCATAGTCGTAGGCATCAGGATTTGGAATTCAGACTTAGCCGTAGGAGGGTTCAAAATTAAGCGTTACTACTGGGCAAATTCTAACTTAATGCCTAAAATAATTATCAATATGTTAGTCTTTTGATATGTTCTGTAAAAGTCTCCTGTTAAAAAAGTACCCTGTATTGTTCATTAGCGCGGTGCTACTCGACTCAGAAACGGCGGGAAACGCTAAAGTTTTCAAATTCGGCTAAGATGGACTGAATGCAGAGTCTGGTGAGATAAGCAAGAGGCTAATCTTTCATTCAATGCCGAACGGGGTCGGTGGAAATGAGAAATGCGGTTAGTTCAATAAACATCCAACTACAAGCAAAACAAAGTAACGATTTAAAACGTGATTTTCTGTTGTTTTCGAATAATTGCAGTGACCAGTTTAACGGTACCAGCGACAAATGACTTGGCAGCACTTTATTTAATAGATTTGGTTTAGAAAATACACCAGTTCCCTGCATCCATGACTTGGCTCTTAAACTGACGTCTTATTTTGACCTGCACCTCAAATCCCGCGCATCTCTTCAGCAAAAGTAGAATGACTATGGTTAGACATTTGTGTCAACCAGTAACCAAATTGTTGACTTTCCAGTTGCGATTCTGTTGTTGCGAAACTGCACCCTCTTTTCCTTGGGAGCTGGGATACGTAGGCACATGAAGGAAGTGCAAGATTTATAGCTTCAAGTCATAAAATTGATTTCGTGAGAAATGATTGGCAGGAAAAGCAGAGACAAATGGTTCATCCATTTATTTACAAGGTTTTCCAACCATTCAACCTTTGGTGTACATGCTAGGTCCTAAATGGACACTACTTTCATGCATAGATATTTTACTGGTGATAGTTTGATTTAAGAAAAAACAGCCAGCACATTAAAACGCATGGATTTTTGCGTGGAAATAAAACAAAATTTGCAAGGACAAAGCCACTTACGTAGCGTCTGCATCCAAATTACGATTATTAACATTATTGGCAGCTTGGGACACCGATCTTCCACTTCCAGTTTGCTCTGGGTCAAAAAACCAAACCGTGTCGTCGTCGTCGTCGTCGTCTTTTTCTTCTTTTTCCACATCTCCTTCGACGTGTCGGTTTTCTTCCCCGACCACCTGAGTTGCTGCAACTGCTGATGTCTCCATTGCTGCAACTGCAACTTTCTCCATGGTGATCTCAGCATTGGTGGAGTTACAGGTAGGAGGATGGTGGCAGGAAGTGATGAGAGAAGATAGGGGTGAGACTGTGGTGGGCGGAGGGCCGCTCGATTCAGTGGAAGAGGACGAGTTTGAAGCAGCAGGCAGGATAATACATCGGGAGCGTGAGAGGGGATTGAATCGCGACTGCGTTGTAGCCGCGTGTATCCCCTCGCTACCGCCCCCATCTGTGTGGGCGAGTCTGCTCACAGTAGAAGAGATCTTTGGAGAAGTAGGCAGGTGCACAGGCCGAACGGCTTCCTGCATCAAGGCTGACGACGGTCGTTGAACTTCCTATTCGGGAATGTCCATCAATAAAATAAACAAAGTTTCTTTGCATTTCTGAAAATCCCCGAAGCATTACAATCACGAAAGCTGTGAAAACTCTTTAGAGGAATCTTGGTTCACTTGGTTCATTGGCCAAAATATGTGGCTTTTCTTTTTCCTTTTAGAGGCGCTTACTATTGATAGTTAATCATCGAGTATTTTGAGGCCTCTCCTCTCTGTCCTTCCTGGTTGATTTACATCACGCATAAATTGTTCAAAATGCATTGATAATATTTTTAGGATGACATTCAAGAAAACCAAACTGCCCGACTTTTGGACGTACACGGACTCCCAATGGTCGCCCACCTAAGGTTAGTGGTTAGACGCCTGCTCTAAAGCTGTCTCACGCATTACCCGACTAAGATATAAGTAAACGATCAAACAATATTTTTAGAACTGTCGAAAAAACCCGATTTTGTAGTGAACTTTCACAAGCAAATTGATAATATTTGGAGCCGTGAGTACAATACCCTGTTTGATGCGACTATCGGATGTCTAGCTGCTACTGTGGGATTCATCTTGTCCTTGTGCGCGTGGGCTGGCCTTCGGGACAAGACATAGCCCAATCCCATTCTCTCCCCCTCCTTCCCGAGTTCATGTATTCAGTTCAACTCAATGCCTTCTTATATCTAGTGGGAAGTCTTGGAGCACTACACTGTTGGTGGTGGGCAATTACGTTACCACCGTTAGGTAGGCAGCGTTGGAGTACGAATGGGCTATGCAATCAGTGAAAGGAAGTTACTCCGTACGGACATTAAAGCGGTTGATCGTTCATCACTCTGAAGTCCTGTATTAGAAATGCGTGGTGAAGGGATGACATCTAAGCAAATGGCAAAGATCCAAGTAGATTGTAAGACCTTTCAGCAATGTGGAAGGAAATCACCTGACGAATGGATATGACGGAGAAAGTAAGGGAGCTAATGGGGTTCATTTTTTTCTTTGTCTGTTTGAATTGCAGCTTTGGTAAAATAATCGCTTTTTTTCTCCGCCACTATAGGTCCTCTGGTCGACTTAATCTCCGGCCTATGCCAATGATCTTCAGGCTCTTCTGACAGGCTGTCATGAGTTCTTTCGTTGTCAAGGAAGGAGCGCGGGCAAAGTCCATCTTTATGACCCTATCAAAGGCATTCCGCAAAACGATTAGTTTGCCGAAACATAAGACACTGTAAGCCTGCAAATGGCACCAGAAATTATTCCATTTTATTCATCGAGGTGAACAAAGTTATGCCATTCTCCATGTACAAAACACGTCTCGTATAAATGGCTGACCTTGGGCGCAGACGTTCTTTTACGCATAAGAAAATGCATTAGAAAACACAGCTCGAATTATTAAAGATTGCTATCCTAAAAAATTTTTTACTATATACAATGATTTGCAAATGTAGAGGTAGACAGTCGTGTTTTACCTGAAGAGGATGAATTTTATTGAGTGAGAACGTGCCGTCGAGGCTAAAAGTTCTGGCAACCATCGGGTGCACAAAAGTAAGGTGTGGACATCTAAAATGCACCCATTTCACCCCTTTTCCTTCCGTTGATTTTAATAGTAGAAATAAATTTGAACTTTGCAAACACTAAAATCAGCTAATGAGTGCTATTCAAAATCAAGTAACTGAGTGTAAGGCTAGTTTCCAGTCGGTGTCCAGATCTCAGCACAAATTAATTGCTGCTTCAAAAAAAAAGGAGACGTTGACCTTTGAATGTGCACCCACTCGGAGTACCAGTGTGCAATGCGA